AGCTTTAATTTAAAAGACTATGATTTCACTTTTCATTTCTTTAGGCTTATTAAATATCAAACATCAATACTGTATTTTATTACAATAATTAGTAAGGCATAATTTGGTATCTTGAAGTTGCACATGCTTCAATCACTTAAAATTAATTAACTTAATAACTTCCCATAACTCCAGCTAGAAGATAGATGAGCATGTCAAATAAGTTCAGTGAATTCCCAAGGTAAAATAAATAGTTTATATCTTCTGCTCTAATATTAGAAGGACTAAATAATGACCTATACAGTGACAGGCCAAAAACAACTGGTCTACCCCTTTCTTCAAATGAATATTTGTTTGTTTTAAGAGAATAACTTGACAACTACATCAATCATACTTGAGTCCTCATCATGTTGCAAAAATATTTTTATAATAATTAAGGCAGAGAATCATCATGAACTTGAACCCTAATTTTGCCACATCCTTAGCTGTTTGGTCATAAGCAACTTACTTGATTTCTGTGAGCCTCAGGGCTTTTTTTAAGTGTAAAATAGAAATAATAATACATACTTTGCAGGATTGGTTGGAGGATTGGAAATAGTAAGTTAAAGCACCTGGCACAGAGGTTTGCTTGTAGTAGTAGCTAGGTGGCAGCTAGTATTGCTCAAACTATGTAGGAATGGCCATCGTATGTCTCGTTTCAGTTCACTCTGAATGGTCTTACTGAAGACTTCCTTAATCTTCCCTCTGCATATTCAGCACAATCAAGAAAGCCCATGTACTCCGTCTTTGTATACATGGAGTGTTGATTTCCCTTCCTGTATACCCTGGTGAGGCTGAAGGGCTCCTTCTGTAATATTCTTTTGCCTGACTGTGTTTCCACCTTGCAAAATGTTGGGGTTAAGTCAGAGATGGGCAGGTGCTGGGAAAACTGGCCATTGACCAAACCTTTTGACTAACAGTCCCAGTCTCATACTTGGTTCAACTGAAAGAAACTGCATTAGGTCATCATAACCTGTACACCTCTTTTCCACTGTTTTAGAAAGCAGTAGGAAACATACTGGAGGAAACTAGTGAAAGTTTACATTTTGTGTCCTACTTTGTGCTCATATCACTCCCTTTGTGGGGAAGGGAAAATATTAATGTTTTGCATTTACTTAGGTTCTTGGTTATGTAATTCCAATTATATGGGTGAGTTACAGATTCCTTACTCCCAAGAATTATTTCTTTGAGGTAAGAAGCAAAACCAGGTTTTAAGATTCGGGTAGCATCCAACAAAAGAAAAACATATTGCCTAAAGAGAACAAACTGGAAGCTTTTTAGAATGACTCCCTCTGGACTGCTACGAAAACAAACAGCAGAGCAAATGTTGCTAATCCTGTTTCTGCTTTGTGCTTCTGGCCATGTAGGGGATAGAGAAGTCAATCTAATGAGGCCAAAAATCCGTTTCCAATCCTACAAGTGATGCATTTAATTTGTCAGGATGTAAATCAGCAGGACCTCTCAGCATGTTTGTGTAGTATAATCCTAACCATAAAATATTCCTCCTCATTTTGCCAAAGTGGTGGTGGACCTTCCTAAGGGCCAGCTCACTGACTTGGCAGCTGAAGTCCCATCTTACTCAAAGCTGGTAAGTCCCACACCCAGACACAACCCCTGACATTCCTTGGGGAGGAAGCAAAGCTTAATTTAGATAATCCCCCCTGCAAAGTGTATTAGCTGATCCAAACCAGACCTGACCAACTAAAGGCATGTTGTTGCTGCATTTCAGAGATGCCTTAATGTAGAAATAGCTTCTTGATGCATTTGGAGGATTAAGATTCATATAAGGAATAACTAGTGATAATCGATAAGCTATTTTTTTTAAAAACATAAACAGCTTCATGCTTGACTTTGAACCTCTCTCCACTTAAATAGGAGGAGCACATTTCTTTGTTGCAACAGAAATTGCCTGGCAGAGCTCCTCTAATTCCATTGCACATATGAAAATACACAATAACAATAAACAGAATAGGGAAAGTATGCTATGTATCACAAATGGGTACTTTTTATTTGTATAAAAAAAAACACTTATCTTTTTTTTAAGTTGTTTGTGGAAGACTATGTCTAATTTAAGAACAAATGTTCTGCCAACACTCCATCACACACATTAGGCCCTTAGACAAGAAGATAGACAGATAACTATAGAGATACAGCAATACCAGGAGGTATAGCAATTGATAGAAAAATACCCCAGAACCACATGTAAGATGATGCCATACTTGAGGGTTCCACTGTCAAAAAAGAGAGAGATGTGGAATGCGAGTATAAGATGCATGCAAGTTTTTGTCTGTATGAGCACAGAAGTGAATTTCCAATTAAAACCTACATCTCTGAATTTGTAGTAAAAAACCTGTATTACTAGAGAAAGAAATAGCTATAATCCTGAAAAAGTTGACATCAGCAATAAATGATGTGATTTACAGATGTAAGGAAACCTGGGTTTTCTGTTGAAATTAGAATTTAATGAGGGGGGAACAGTTCATCAGCAGAAGGCACAAATATGTTTGGGATCAGAAGTCAGATTCCTTTGAGATTCTGAAGTGCATGGAGAAGCCCCTTCTACCTGACCCAGAGTGGAGCTCTTTTGAGACCTTGCACCCTAACTCATTTTTAATGATAGAGCAGAGAGAGCAACTTTAAAGCAGTTTGCCTTTAAAATATAATATTTCATAGTGAAAATTCTATAGTAGGAAATGATACCAGATGCTGCATAAAAACCATGATGGGAAGACAAGAAAATCTGAAATGGTCCAGAATTAAGGTAGAAAGGATACATTTTTAAGAAAGAGAGAAAGAGAAGGGAAACGAAAGAAGGAAGGAAGGAAGGAAGGAAGGAATGAAGGAAGGAAGGAAGGAAGGAAGGAAAAATGTGAGAAGGAGGGAAGGAAAGAGAAAGAGACAGGGTACCTGAGTACAAGTGGTGCATAAAGATGGCATTTGTTTTTGCAGTTAGGGAGGAGACTTTTCAGGCCTCCCAGTTTATATTACGGTATCACGACAACTCAAGGGTCAGATACAGACAAAGACATAATATGCAAATCAGTAGGGAAGAACTAAAGAACATAAATTCATGCGGGCAACTCTTTCAGAAATAAATCAGGCGGTAACATAACTACTGAGAGATAGATTCAAATGACCTTAGGTTATACTAGTAAAATGAAATACACAGTTACTAAGAATATTAGAGAATATTTTATTAATATAAAATGGTATCTATCTCCAAAGAAGTCGGACTTCCAGACTGTGTGTAAGGCATGACAGAACTTTTTGTGAAAATAATATTTATATATAACATGAAGCAAAATAGCCAGCTCTTTCTGTATGATAAAGCTGTGGTTTTTAATTTTCCTGTGTGTTTTTTTTGTCCTTATCCTATAATAAATGTGCTATTTGTATAATTATAAAAGCAAACAACAACTCAGAAAAATAAGGGGAAATTGTCATTGTTTTACTTATCCATGATTCCTGGACAAAGTGTTCACAAATAGCATTTTGAAATATGACTGTAAATGTGGTTCACTTTTGGTGACAAAATTAAACCATAAAGGGATGATCCTAGATTAAGGGATGGTTAAAGTAAAGTATACTTGTTACATACATGTATAAGTCTGGTTACTGTGAAATTGCAGGGTAATAAATGGTATATTTCAACAGGATTGTTAACTCTAGAACATTTAATCATGCAATCAGGGCCAAGTCCTGTCAGGTTTCTTTGTAGTTATACAGTTAACCCCATGTCACAGTGCAAGGATAAATAAACGTAACACTTAGAAATACAAGTCATGCAGCATGAGTGATCCCTTTCAGATTCTAAACCAACAGCCAGGTTTATATTTTTCATGCAGAAGTTTAATTGTAATTGTTGACATTATGCTCTATTTTTAGCATGAAGTTGGGAAATTCTTTTAGTTTGTAGATAGTATGAAGAGGCCATGTGTTATAATGGAAATATGAGGACTAGCAGCAAAGACACCTAAATTACATTCCGATTTCTGCCACTAGCAAGCTGTATGACCCTGGACAAGTCACTCCCTTCCACTGGGTCTCTGTTCCCTCACTTGTAAAGAACAGAACTAGTAGTCCTCTTAGGTGCCTTCCTGGTGTGGAATATAAAGGGAACTCTAGTGCCACCAATTCAATGGCATTTAACCAGTTTCTATGAATACAGTGGCCTTTACCTCAATATTATGCATAGGAACTGAACCTTCGTCAAGTTATCCAGATACCCAGAAGAAATTTCAATTTAATGCAAGAAACTTGTCCTAAGGAAGTCAATGTTTTGATTTGTTCATCATCAATGTTAATGACTTCAAAATAATAGTCTTTCACTATCCCAGCTCTCAAGATGTCTAATTTCCAATTCAATCAACTGAAATGATTCATAATTTATAAAATAAGATGGTGTGATAACATCTATAAAGCTAAACAAAGACATTTACTATGTCCAAAGTAAATAGCTATAAATGAAAACTAAAAACTCAAACCCTTGATCAGCTTTATAGGTAAATTATTTTCTAGAAAAAATATACATTTTCCTTCTCTCTAGTGCTATATTTCTGAATTCAGCAACTCTGTAGCTTTCTAAAAGCCTAAGAATTGGGGGAGTTGAGCAGGAATTTAAGAGGCTCTATTCTCTGTTGTTACAGGTTTTGATTATGCTGAAAATGTCAATATTTTGTCACTGAATTTAGTCATAGAATCAAATTTTTGTAGATATGGTGAGATTTGAACTACTAACCATTAGAGAAATTAATGTTAAAAGTTATAAAAAGCAAATATTTCAGGAGTATCAGCAACAGTATTACTACTGACATACTAGCTGTATTTACCTTAAGCTCTCCTTTCTTTCTATATTAATATTAATTTGGCTCTATATTTCATTTTTTAAACCACCTCAACCGTATTTGTTTAAGAGTTGGCAGAGAGGTGAAGGATATAAATAAGTACACACAGAAACATTTTTGGAATAAAGCAATCCTCACCTGTTTTTTTCATGAATCTTCAAGATTTCATTTGTCTGTTGAAGAAGTTGCTTCTCTAGCTTGTAGGTTGATAATGAATTCTCCAGCAGCTGTATCTCAAGTCGAGAAGTTTGATTTAGTACCTTAAGATAAAAGATGAAAATATTTCAAACTTCAATCACAAATCAATGAACTTTTTTAAGTTTTATTTTGTCTTTAAATAATATTTCTTCAAGAATAATTAAACAAATGGTTTACATTCTACCAACTAATGTTTTACATGCCTTTCAGATATTATTTTGGTTTGAGATTGAAATTGCAATTTAGGACATTTGTGTCCTAAAACCCTAGGATATTCTTCTGTGCTAGTTGCTTCATATAGCTTATCTCCAATATCTGTAAGTGCAAGGTTGGTATTAAGTACAAGGTCTTAGATGTTGTGGATAATTAAGAGTAACTAATAGGCATGTAAAAGATACCTGTCTTGATGCATCACCTGACAAAAAACAATTAGAAATGTGCAAAAATCTCTTGACATAGTTTAGAAAAATTCATTATCACACATTTACAGAATGCCTATCACACTAGGTCATGCTAGCCCTTCTGGATATCATGACCACCTGTTGAAGGAGAAATTGTTATCATCACTTTACAAATGAGAAACCTGAGCTTCAGAGAGAAGCCCAAGTTCACACAGGAGACAAGGGAAGAGTGGGGTTTCAAACCCAGGTAGTTTTATTCTGATTCTGCTGCTCTGCAAAGAAAATTAAGGAGAGGGTGAGTCAAACCATTCTGAGGAAACGAAATGACCCAGAACCCAGATTGTATGAGAGACAGATTGTTCTCATCCTTTCAACTTCACTACTACTACTCTGGTGGTCCTCTAGAAACTGTGAAGACTCAATTCATCTTGAATCACAATGACCCATGTGTCTAGCTGGGCCTTCTTATGACATAAGTCTGTGAGCTGTGCACCCAAACCTATCATTCTCCAAGCAAAGAATGTACACTCCAGTCCTAGCAGATGCCTTCAAACTGTGTCAATGCCCTGTTCCTGACTGTGTCTTGTCCCTCTCTCTCTTTCCACCTTAAAGGAGGTATAAAAGGAAATAAAGAAGATAAATTAATTTAAAAAGCTCCTCACATTATTTGAAACATTTTTAAACTACCACATCTTTCCTAAAACTACTTATTTAAAAGGACCTGGAAATACTTCTGCCAGGTCAATATCAATGTAAATTTCTTCTACAAACGATGCCATTACAGCCGTCCTCCTCTGTAGCATCTCTAAATCTAGGATTATATCAGATGCACACAGAAAGTCTGTTCAACATATACCAACAGGGCCGGGTGTGGTGGCTCATGCCTGTACTCCCAACACTTTGGGAGGCTGTAGCAGGTGGCTTGCTTGAGCTCAGGAGTTCAAGACCAGCCTGGGCAACATGGCAAAACCCCATCTCTACAAAAACATACAAAAATTAACTGGGCATGGTGGTGCGTGCCTGTAGTCCCAGCTACTTGGGAGACTGAGGCAGGAGGATCACTTGAACCTGGCAGGTAGAGTTTGCAGTGAGCCATAATTATGCCACTCTACTATAGCCTGGGTGACAGAGTGAAACCCTATCTCAAAATAAAATATAAAATAAAATAAAAAGGAAAATATACCTATAGGCCCTGGGCTTGACTTGGGCTATGGGAGTTTGCAGGAGCAGGGGATATATCTGAAGGGAGCAAGGCAGGAACTAGCCTGAGGTGAGAGAGGCAAATGCCTCAGTTGCAAAACTTAAAGGGGTGCCAGAAATCTCAGTAGTCAAGATAAGTAATATTTTAATGTAACATTTTTTAAATTTTACAATTAATGCAAGAAATTGACATTTAACAGAATATCAATTTAAAATAAAGACAGCATCTGATTCTGCACATGTCTGATTTGGTCTGAGGTGGTCTCTAGCCCTGCAAGGGGTGGAACAGGAGGGCGAGGAGGGGATGGGGCAGAGAATGGTGAGATGGAGCATTTATACTCTAAAAAAGTTTAAACTGCTATGACTCATGTATACAGTCATTAGTAAGGATCTGAAAGCCAGTCTAAAATGTATTGCTACTAATTATATCATGTTTGTGAAGGGTTTCAGTGTTTTAAAAAACGTTCTTTTCTATTCTGTATTATTTCATTTCAAAACAAACAGAATTTGAACGTAGAGTTGAGAGTAGCTCAGAGGGGATACATGGTAGAGAATATAAATTTTGGAGATACACAAGATACAGCTTTCGACTATTAAACATATTATTGTCCAAGTATGATTTGAACGACAATTTATAAAATCATGAAATAGGTAATGAAACACTTGTATGTTTTGGTGACATTTAGAACAGTGCTTGGCACAGAGACAACACTCAGTGTTTGTTTATGGATACTCAGTATTTGTTTATGAGGTACATTATCTCACTAAATCAAGCATATCATATGTAGTTAAATAAAATCGATTTTCTTTCTTATTCACCATACTCTCTGATCACACTTCCTGACATTCTCAGACACCAAAATTTTTAATTTCCAGAAGGCAGTAAGTATTCTCCTCCATGTCCATTGAGAACAAAATGGAACCACTCATAATTGAAAATGAAGCCGCCCATATCTCAGTCTGGAGACCACTACAGTTCCCAGTTTGTCTTCCTGCTCCCACTTGCCCCAGCTCAAGTCCATTTTTCACACAGCAACCAGAGGGATCTTTTTGAACACATACAACAGATCACACAATCTCCTTTGCAGTATGCTAATGGCTTCCTTTTGCAATTAGAATGAATTCCAAAGTCCTCAGCCTGGCCTGAAAAGACCCATGTGATCAGAACCCCGTTCACTTCTTGTTTATCATGCTCTAGCCACATAGTCTTCTTTCTGCCACCTTGGTCAAGTTCATTCCAATCTTGGAAGCTTTGCACTTGCAGTTTCCTCTGCTTGGCATGCCCACCGCTTCCCAGATGCATGGCTGATTTCTTCTCATCATCTTAGTCTCTTTCTGGCCACCTTCTTTATAGTAATACCTTCCTCACCCTTCATCACATCATCTTATTTAATTTTCTTTACAGAATCATCACTGTTGAAAACTATCACATCTGTTCACTCATTTGCTGTCTTTCTGCCCCTCCTAGGATGTCAGTTTCACAGAGGCAGGAAGGCTCATCTGGAGTCCCCTAAGCCTCCAGACCCCTCTGAGGTCCAGCACACTGCAGTGCTCATAGCTGAGTTAGATGACATTCTGGGCAATGGACAGTGAGCTGTCATTCAGGCTTGGGTCATGGTCACAGAAAGGGTAACAGGGCCTACATGAATATCAAGTTAGACTTCAGTGATGACAGTCTAAATCTAGAGCAGCATCTGAATATGGGAAAAGGAAGGGGTATAATATCAGAAGTCCAGGCTAAATGCCAATCTAAAGATCAGGGCAGTTTAGAGTACAAATACCAATCCCTCCTCTTGTTTCCCCATCACCTTGACCCTATTGCTGCTTTATTTCAACTCTCTCCACTGACGTATTAAACTAGGTCTGAAGTGGGCAGCCAAGAGAATTGCATAGCAAACTATGATAAATTGACCACTTTCTTGCCATGCGTCTATGGAATTTGCTGCTTAGCAATAATCGAAGTGTTCCATTAAAATGACAAAAGACATTTCCTTCTTAGCCTAAACACATTCCAAAAGCACATCTTTGGGGGAAAAAAGGAAAATCTTTAAATAAAGAAGAAAGAAAAGGAGTAAAGCATATGTGAAACATGCCCCTCAAGGAACAATTTCAAAGATTAAATTTTCCAAAATATACCTAAGAGTAAGAGAGACATAAAACCTGAAATTGAGGATTTATGGGCCACAGAATTTTAGTTATTTCTTTAAAAAAAAAAAAAGTAAACATTTAAAAATAAAAAGTATTAGTTTCCCAGAGAAAGTGAGCCGGAAAATTTCACCCAGCTCTCGTTAATACTTTCAAGAGTGCTTCTGATACTTTAAATTAATATTAATGCTAAAAGTCAGAGACTGAGGTAGAAAGAAAAATCTTTTTTTTAGAGACAGTGTCTCACTCTGTTGCCCAGGCTGGAGTGCAGTGGCATGACCACACTCACTGTAGCCTCTTGGGTTCTGGTGAGGTGTGCCCAGCAATTTTTTACATATATTTTTTTTGTAAAGACAGGGCTCTGCCATGTTGCCCAGGCTGGTCTTGAACTCCTGGGTTCAAGCAATCTGCCCACCTCAGCCTCCTAACATGCTGGGATTATAGGCATGAGCCAGTGTACCTGGCCAAAAATCTCTTTCAATGACTCATTAGCTTTGAAATAGGCCCTGTTTTCGGAGTTATGTTTCCTTTTGCTTTAGTTATTTTTTTTCCAAAGAAAAATCTGTAACATAAAGTATGATGCCTTGGCAATTAATTCTAACAGAAGAATGAAGGTTGATACATGCAGAAGGAATGATAGAGTTAGAAAATCAGCATTTTGCAAAATGATTGAAGTAATTTACTTGGTTAATAATGGGCAATGTGATAAAGTATTACCCTACAGGTTATCTGTTAATGTCCTAGGGAAAAGTGAACTATTGAGATGCGGTGATATGGAGGTTATGACCCTAACCAAGTTAAAGAACAGCATGACTAAGAGAGTAGCAATCTGGCATGTGTGTCTCCCGAAGAGATGCAATAGGAAGTGACCAGTAATTCCACAGAACACCCCTGCCACAATATTCCATTCAATCTGAACAAGTCTTTAGACTCAACTTCCAGTTTAGAGAAACCATAGGGGATTGAAGGGTAAATTAAAGGTCATAATAAAGAAATATTCAGACAAATGCAGAACATGAGATGATTTACAAAACAACCCAGTTTCTTAAGAATGTCAATATCAGGCAAAAAAAAAAGGGGGGAAGACTGCTTCAAATTTAAATGGACTCTTAAATCTTGAAAAACAAAACTGCTACAAAAGTTTTAGTGGAAAGATGAGAAAATATGAATGTAGAAATTAGATAATCTTAGGGAATTATTGTTCATCTTAGTTGTGATGTAATATATAATTAATATTATATAGCTATTACATAATATTCTCTATTTATATTATATATAAATATATTTTATTTATAATAGTAATACCCTCATTATAT